AATAATCATATGGCTGATTTTGGAAATCAGATGAAGCTGCCAACAAGAGCTCAAACTGCCTTGCAATGTGTACGACAGCTTTACTGCTGTCTTTGAAGCCTTTGTGCCAGTGCTCTGTCAAAAAGTGATTTCTGGTGGTTGCAGGAATTTAAGGTATAAATGACTTGTTGACCTGAAATCTGTCAAAAATAGGTCAATCACATCTCTCATGAACTATATCAATTAGCCAGAAAGAGACTTTTATATATGCTTTATTTATCCAGGTAAAATTAACATTGACATTAAAAATGTATTTTATGTCATGGTCGGACGGTCCTTCCCGGGGGCGACCTGCCTGTGTGTCTCTCTCTCTCCCCTCCTCCCCTACCCAGTGGCTGACACACCTGCACCTAATTTGCCACCCAGCTGTCACTGATCATCCTTCGTTGTGGGCTGAGGTATTTAACTGTGTGTCCAGATGGCAGTCGACGCTGGATTGTACTGGAAGCTCGGTAGTGAAGAGTGTTTGTTGACTTGTGGCTTAGCTTTAGCCGGCTAGCCCCCTCACCTGGTGTTTTTGCTCATTTGTAGGAGGAAAAGATACAGAGCTGGAGGTTGGAGAGAAGGAGCCCGCGGGGTTAAGCTATTGGAGGAGAACACACACTTGGATGTCACTTTGGGAACTCACCTGCGCACCACTGGGAGTTTGGGGAAGATCACCGTTGGACTTTGCACTTCACTTTGTGTTTTGAAACTGTTTTTGGGCACTGTAAATAAACGCACTGTGTACTTTGCACCCAGAGCTCCGCGACTGAGTCTGCATTTTTCCATTATCCGTGACATTTTAAGCTTACTTGAAGTGATCAAAAAAGACCTGGGTTGATGAGAATATGGCTACAAATAAAAAGAGCCTTGAAGATGTTTCAAAAACAGACAATTTCTTTGTTTTATATGTAACCCTGTCATAAATCTTTTTCACAACAGTCTTTTTACTGATATAAGTAAATATATCAGACGTAAAAAAGAAAAACCCACAGAAAACCATCGGAAATCACTTTTTGGCACAACACTGGCAACAAAGGAAATTTCTACAAATCAAATCAGTCGAGTCGAGTCGAGTCGAGTCGTGGCCGGTCGATCAGAGTAGGCACTAATGAAAAGGTGCTAACAACCAGATTGCAAGCATGTGTGAATGATTTGTACCTGACAGGTATCCACGCCTCCTGAA